CTCTGCCATGACATAGTTCTTTGTGTGCTCCCTAACCCTTCTGTGAAGCTATGAGTTCCCTAAGGGCTTGAAGAATATTTTTTAAAGATTTATTTTATTTTTATTAGAAAGTCAGATCTACAGAGAAGAGAAGAGACAGAGAGGAAGATCTTCCATCAGCTGATTCATTCTCCAAGCGGCTGCAACAACCAGAACTGAGCCTATCCGTAGCCACGAGCCCGGAGCCTCCTCCAGGTCTCCCATGTGGGTGCAGGGTCCCAAGGCTTTGGGCTGTCTGTGACTGCCTTCCCAGGCCACAAGCAGGGAGCTGGATGGGAAGTAGGGCCTCTGGGATACAAACCAGCACCCATATGGGATCCTGGCATGTTCAAGGCAAGGACTCTAGCTGCTAGGCTACCCTGCCGGGCCCATGAATTTTTTTTTTTTACTAGCAATCACTGTAGGAAGGGCAGCAAATAGATGAAACATTCCTCTGCTAGCCCTTCTACCCACACAGAATATGCCCCCAAGATCCCAGTGGATGCTGAAACAGATGATATTGAATCCTGAAGGCTTGTGCTGTGTATTTTCCTTATACATACATACCTATGATAATTTAATTTCTAAATTTGACACCACAAAGATGAACAATAGCTAGTAATAAAACAGAACACTTTTAATAATATAAAAATATGTGAATGTACTTTAATGTACTTTTGAATCATTGTTGACTGCAAGTAACTGAAATCATCAATAACAGAACTCTTGGAATACAAATCCCTGGAGAGGGCAAGAAGGCTACACCGCCATATACTGAGTGGAATATAGGGAAAGGCCTGTGGGTAGGAAAATGTGGAATATTAGTGGAACAGCAGTGACCTTAGCCTCTCTATTGTCATTGCTAACTCCTGGGAAGAAGATGAAGTGAGAAAGGTGTACCCTGACATGGCTACTGAAGGCCATGGTTCAGCTATGCTCTCTAACCTCCTCTGCAGCAAGTTCTCTGTTTCGTTTGTGGTCTTTGTTACAGTGTGCAGCTGTTTTGCTTGCTTGATGATTATCTCTATCCCACACACATGTCTGCAGAACCTACATTCCAAGAGGGCTTGCACCACTCATTCCTTGTTCTGTCTCCCCTGTGTCTAAGAGTATCTGGTACATGGGAAATATTCAATATATTCTGAGTAGATTAACAAAGGCTATGGGTCATAATATCCTGTAAAAATTGGATTCAATGATATCTAAAGTGACTAGTAGTCCAGTGCTTAAACATAAGAATCATTAGTAAATATTAGCCCCAACCCTTTCTTTCCTCCAATAGCCTACTCATGTATTGATTAGTACCTTCCACATATGTGTCCAGCTTTTCCACAGCTGCTGGAGATGCAATGGCGGCCAAAAGAGAGACAAATTCCTCCCCTAGTGGAGTGTCTATCCTAATCAGGGATGAGCAATTCTGGAGTGCCATGGAGTATTTATAAAGGTTTTAGAAAAAGGACTCACAGCCCAAAGAGAGACGCATTTGTGGGCTGGAGGGATGGAAGGCATCACAGTGCTAGAGTGAGGTATCAGCTGACTCAGACATGAGTGGCAGCAAACACATGAGTGGACCCAGAAATAGGAGAGTTGATACTCACTGCACCTGAGTGATCCTGGAGTAGGGAACTGACAATGTCAAAAGCCTCGGATCCTCTTGCTCTGCTGGGTTGTTCCAAAGAGACAGGGAAGTTGGAAGGAGAAGCTGTGGGTTGGTGGAACCTAGAGGGTGAGATGAGCTAAGACTGGTTTGGGATGTGATTCTTTTGAAGAGATGGAGAGAGTCTAGGTGAAAATGCTGGACTCATAAATCAAAGTATGGCTTTGGAGTGCAGTGGGAAGGACTCTGCCTTCTGATCCAGCGTGGATCACTGTCGCATGTAACATAAAGCACAACCTTCTTGGTGGCTGCCAACATATCCCCAGGGGAACTGCCCCTTTAGCACAGCACCTGTACTAATCTTTCAGTCTCTTTAAGTCCTTAAGCGGTAATTGTAAATTGAATAACTGGTAGTATTCAAAATTTTACCATCAAGATAAAGAGAAATAGCAAATTGTCTGCACTCCAAAAAGGGCCTCAATTCAGATTCTTGTCTTCTTATTGCCTCTCCCAGTTGTACAACCATGAGAAAATTGTCAGCTTAAATCTTAGCCTGCAAAGTGTACAATGAATAGCCAGTTCTACCTTGCAGAATGCTGTGAGAGTACCACGTTAATGAAAGTGTATCCGCAGTCACTGCCATCTAACAGAGGCAAGGGTTAAAGCATTTAGGGTATTATTCATTGATGTATTTATCACTGTGCCTTTTAGGTTTTGCCAATGTTTTCACCCTCTCACTTCATCTGCTTCCTTATTTCCAACACTTTACCCAGACAGTCCTGCTGTGGCATAGCCACCTTGCCCAGAGCCTCCACAGGCCACCCAGCTCATGTGCACACGGCTGGGTGGGCTGTCAGTTCACATTGACCAGTTCAACTAACAAGGTCACAGCTTGCACATTCCAACATCACTGTTAGAACTCCCGATGTGGCCGTGCTTATGCCTGGCCTACAAATTATACAACTGTGTCCTTAGTTAGGCACTACTTGTGTCACGGGAGCCCTAAACCAGCTTCAAGAGTCAGCACTCAAAAATACATGGCAGACAGTCTTCTTGTAATAAAAAATAATTTAAATTTTTTTAAAAAATGAGAAGTCTATGTATGCAGGTTGTTTTCAAAAGTGAACTAAGGATGTTGATAAAATGGGCAGCAGAATTCACTTTGAGAGTCAAGTATGTGAGTTCACACACAATGAATCCCTAACAGCTACTGCTAATTGAGACACGGAGCTAGACATGGGCATTTTATGTCAGGGTGAACTCTTTCCAGAGTCTCCCACACTCTGCAGAGTGAGTGAAAGTGTTTTTTTAACTCTCACTCTACATTCTACAGTCTACCTCTACTGCAATATCTAACAGGGAGGACACACTGGTTATATTACGTGTGTGTGTGTGTGTGTGTGTGTGTGTGGTATTAGAGTGCTTAAAAGTCTTTGCGGAAAGTAGGGTTGAAAACAAGTTTGTTTTGGTGCAAAAAAAAAAGCTTGAAATCTATGCACACAAAGGGTCTTCTGAATATTCGAAGGAGATGCAGATCGTGACAAAATGTGTGTAGAAATCAAAATTCTCTGCACAAAAAGAGATTTGCCCTTTAATTCCACTTTCCATGGACTTTCGAGTATCTGGGACCACACATACACTTTTATATAGATTCAAGTGAATCTGTCCGCCTTGACCAGAAGGCAGCCCCCCAGAGCTCTGAACCGATGGAATGCAGACAGGAAGGAGTACCCTCCGAGGATGAGGAGGAAGCCCATCCCAGAAGCCACAACGGCCCCGAGGAATGTGCTGCGGGTGGGTGCAGGCAGGGCCCACAGCCACACCACACCGCAGTCTTGCCTTCATTTTCCAGAGTGAGTCAGTCATCGAGTGTCCTCTGACCATGCCACCACATTGCACTGGGATCAGCATTTCCTGGGTGTGGGGATTGCTGGGGGTTAGGAAAGAGGCCAGCCTCTTCACTCCCCACAGGGAGATGACTTTTTTTTCCCCATCCAAAGAGTTGCAGGCAAGCTTACAATGGTGACATTTGCTGAGTAGTGCCTTGCATAAAGGGCCCTCAGAAAGGCAAGACCATAGCATGAAACACAGGCCAGCCCCAGGAATGCCCCATGGCCTGCAGCCTCACGATGAATGAACAAACAAAAGAAAGCCACAGCAGGAGAGCTGGCAGCGGGGGGTCCTGTGGGGGGAGCTCAGAACTGCTGGGAGCAATGAGGTAAACTACCAATTGCTCAAAGAAGCTCTACAAGAAAGCTAGGCTGCAGCCTTCAAACGCCAAGAAACTGTATTTCTTAAATGCCAGTTAATCTGTACCCTATCCCTGCCCAAAGAGGAAAGTGGAAATCTGTTCCCCACTGAATCAGTTAACCAGGGTTCTGCAGTCAATCCTCTCAGTACTCCAGACATATTCCACATTAGTCAATCTGCAAATATTCAATTGCTGCTGCATCCAAAGACTGGCTAGCCTGTCCCTCTTCTGTGTGTGTGAGTGTGCACGCGCGCGTGTGTGTGTATGTGTGTGTGTGTGTGTGTGTGTGTGTGTGTGTGTGTGTGTTTAGGACAACGCAATTCTGCTTGTTACTAAGAACAATAGGCCTCGAGTTGAGAGGTTTCCCTGGAGAGATTGAGGTGCCAACATCTACAGCGAAATATTCCCCTCTTTGTCTAGGACTCCAAGTGTGCCTGTCCCGTCGACAAAAGACGCCCCTCATTCCAAAACCAATCGCAGAAATCCTTGTGGAAAATGGGACCTGTGATATTTCCCAAACAGGTCACCCTAACCCAGTACTGTGCATGGCTGTCCTAAAACGAACACACGCATTGATCTCCTCCATTCAGCCGTGAGTGATAAAATTGCCTTTCGCTTGAACTCATTCATCAAATGGGAGTTTTCAAGCAACACCTAATTAATTCTTTCATTGGCTCCCATTGCACCTAGAAGGACTTCCACCGGAGCAGATAAAACCTGCGCACACTGAATTCGATTTTGAAGCCTCTGATTCGTGTTTCCTCTTTCACCCAGAATCTTGAGTTAGTGTTCAGAGTCGGGTGTGGCTTCAGAGGCGGGGGAATGGGGTGGGGATGGAGAAGCTGGGGGCGGGTGACTGGAGCTCAGAGCCCGCTGGCGGGAGAAGATGCTGGCGCGTTTGAGGGTGCCCAACCCAGTATTTAGCGGCTTTTCAGGCTCTGAAGAAGTTTCTCGCGAGCGAGAAGTTAGCACCTCGGGAGCAAAACCAGACTTCGACGAGTTCTTAAGAACTCAGAGGGCGAGTTTGCGTCCTCTAGGCTCGGCCACACACATCAAAGAGGCCATCCGGCTCCAAATTGGAGCGATTAGTGCGTGCGGCGCCCTGGGAAACCTGAGTCCAGTTCCTCTAACGGTTTCCCCGAACCGCTAGGAGCTCTCAGCCCCGGGAGGGGTGCGGTGAGTCACCGCCCGTGACTCAGAGACCACACCCCTCTCCCTTGGGCATCCCTCGGCCGCCGCCCCACAGTCCCGCTGCCCCAAGTTGGCCCGAGCCCTTGCGTCCCGTCCCTGGACTAGGACCCCCGCCCGCCTCCCGCTTGCCCCCTTCACACCCCCACTGGGAAGCGATGCGAACCAGAGGAGCCCTTTTCTGGCTAACAGGCAGGGCCGGAGGCAGCGCGGGGGGCTCCAGCGAGTTGGCACCTGGCAGTGTGCACCCCCACCCCGCGCTCCAATCTCGGGTTCTCTTTGTTTCGCCTTCGCGCGTAGAAATCGGCTGGTTCCCTTATGGCCCCTCTTCCTGCCCGTTTCCTCAGGGTGTCCCCATCCGGAGGCTCGCGACCCGCCGAAGTGCAAGCGCCTCGCATCGCACCGCACCCTCCCCCGCTCCCGCGCGCCTCCTCCCACGCCGCCTTTGGGTCGAAAGCCTGGAATCCCTAGAGGCCCTTTCCGGACCAGGGTCCCAACTCCACTAAATGCTCGACCCAGCCTTCTTTAACAGCCTGGGACGAACAGTTCGGGCCATCATCAGGAAAGCCCCAGAAAGTCCCAGCCCAGCCCTCTAAACTAACGGGACCTTGCTGAGTCCTGAGCGTTAAACAAGGGAGGCTCCAGGCGCCCCCGCCCCAAGTCCCGTCCCACCCTTCCCACTTCTTGCTGGGTCCCCATTGGCTGGCGCGCAGGTTATAAAAACTGCGCCCTCGGCAGGGTCCAGTCCTCTGCCATTCTCACTCCTAGGTCCCCTCGCCAGGGACGCAGCAGCACTCCCACCGCCCACACTCAGAGTGCCCTCGCTCTCCGAGCCGGTCCGCTCAGCCCACCGCCACCCTTCGCAGTCATGTCCACCAGGTCCGTGTCCTCCTCCTCTTACCGCAGGATGTTCGGCGGCCAGAGCACCGCCAGCCGGCCGAGCTCCAGCCGGAGCTACGTGACCACGTCCACCCGTACCTACAGCCTGGGCAGCGCGCTGCGCCCCAGTACCAGCCGCAGCCTCTTCTCGTCCGGGTCGGGGTCCGCTTACGCCACGCGTTCCTCGGCTGTGCGCCTGAGGAGCAGTGTGCCCGGCGTGAGGCTGCTGCAGGATTCGGTGGACTTCTCGCTGGCCGATGCCATCAACACCGAGTTCAGGAACACCCGCACCAACGAGAAGGTAGAGCTGCAAGAGCTGAATGACCGCTTCGCCAACTACATCGACAAGGTGCGCTTCCTGGAGCAACAGAACAAGATTCTGTTGGCCGAGCTCGAGCAGCTCAAGGGCCAGGGCAAGTCGCGCCTAGGGGACCTCTACGAAGAAGAGATGCGGGAGCTGCGCCGGCAGGTGGACCAGCTCACCAACGACAAAGCCCGTGTCGAGGTGGAACGTGACAACCTGGGCGAGGACATCATGCGGCTCCGGGAGAAGTAAGACTCGGGGGGTTGCCGGGAGGGAGCGGGGATGGAACCCCCTTGTTTCCCCAACCGAAGGCTGCCACGCCCTTGGGACTGTGGCCAGGGCGGTGGCCCTCTGTGGGACCGCCAAAGGCGCGGGGCTACGACTTTGAAATGGTGCAGCCCCGCCCAGGACTCGGCCACTGCAGCTAACATTTCTCCTACTCGGTGCTCAAGTGGCTCCCTTTCAAGTTAGAGATTTCTTAAAACGACCACTTGATGCATCCCTGAAGGACTCTGGGAGATGGCCCCAAACTTTTAGAAAGTTTCCTGGCCTCTTCTGGCAGGCAGTCAGCCCTTGGACTGGAGGAGGCGGGGCGGGGGGAGAGGGAAGAGGGCTTGGTTGCTGCTTGCGGAAGAAGCCAGACAAAGGGATGGCCAAGGGTCCCCAGGGGTGGAGCAGGGCCGAGCAGCAGCAGCGGCACCTCGGGACTGCCTTTCCACGTCGCTCCCCCAGATCCCGCGAAAACCCGCCAAGGAAGGCAGTTGTGAAAAGTGTGGGCGCTCGCCCGCGTTTCGCTGCTTGCGGCCGCCGCCTTGGTGGCAGGGTGTGGCCGCCCCGCCCCTGGCGGTTTCCTGGTTCCCCTCGGGCTTAAGTGCAATTTTGTTTCAGGTTGCAGGAGGAGATGCTGCAGAGGGAGGAAGCCGAGAGCACCCTGCAGTCTTTCAGACAGGTTTGTAGCTTCCCCCTCCCCGGATTTCACCCCCATCGCCGCCTCCCTGCCTAGCGGCCTCAGGGCCCCACCCAGCCAACCGCACAGGCCGATTCTAAAAGTTACTAAAGTCTGCAAAGTACAACATGGCAGGTCCCTGAGCACAGCCCCCTAGTGGCGGCAGGACCTGAGATCGAGCCTCTCCGTAAAAACCCTTGACAGATTGCAAGCCATTCCTTAGGATATAAAGTGCTTCATACTTTTTGTTGTTTTGTTTTCAAAAAGTCCCATCCTCAACAAAGATATATTTTCCCATATCATTTTCGCAACATATTAACATGCTGATTGGGGACAGTTACAATGTGGTTTAGATTATGATTTTTTTCAGACCAAGCTGGCTGACTTGTTACAAGGCCACAGAAAGCACAGGGAGGCCTTGGCATTGAAAATATAAAATGTGTTGGAGGATAAAAAACGGAGCATAGCTGGAAGGAAGCCAGCGAGCTGCGTTCCTCCTCTGCAAGGCTAATGTGCCGTTCAAGTTGGATGGAAGTATCGCTAGGCGCAGCTATGTCGTGATGTAATAGGGGTGAAAGGCAGCCATCTGTCCACCCAGCTGAGCGGTGTTAGCGGTTCCCATGGGCTTCAGGAGGAATGTCGATACAGACGTCCTGGCAAGTGTGGTGGCTCTGGGCAGAAATAATAGGAGCCTTTGTGTTCCTAGAGTAGCTTGACTGCAGGCTACATTCTCCCTGAGTATGCAGTGATGTAAGCACACTTCTCATTGGACGAAAGGATTTGCTAACATCCTCTGTCTCTCCTCTGGCCCAGACCAGGGAAGTTTGCATTGTGACCATGGTCGCTCTTCACATTTTGCAAGAGCCGTATTGGGGGCTTAGTGCTCTTTTACACTGCCTCTCTGGAGCACTTGCCGGGCTTGGCTGCAAGACACACTCAGATGAATAGTCTGGAACAACATTTTGAAGCTGAAAGATTTGCCACATTAATTACAACAGCCATGTGTGGTTTTAGAGTGCTTCTGATAATTGTTTTTATGACTTTTCCCCCCAGAGGGTGGTGAGTTAATATAACATCATAGGAAGGAAAACTCCTTATTCTCCTCATTGAAGTAAGAAATAAAATATATTGCCTATCATTTTTGGTGCTTTACAACAAGCAAATCAATTTTTTGAGTTGGTATTTTTTTTTTTTTTTGGATCACTCACTCCTTACTCACTTTCCATGATGGTGACAGAAGTGTCTCATCACTTTAAGTCTGGAAGGTTATAAACTGCCCCCCTTATAAGAGAAGGGATCCTTTGGACATTCCCTTGAGTGGAAAAAAATCCTATAACTACAAGATTACATGTTCTGATTTGGAATGTAGACGGAGAGCAAGGTCAGCAGGAATTTTACAGTTTCATTGCATACCAGCACTTGATCAGTCATTCTGAAACAGACTAAGCAAATGAATACAGTGTGGTAAGTGCAAAGGCAGGCATGCCCTGAAAGGACAAGTCAGGGGGAGTTTCAGGAGAACAGTCTACAGGAAAAAGGAATTAAATGCAGCTCAGGGAAACACTTCTGTTCCTGAACTGCCTATGAAGACGTACCCAGAACCAACACTGAATGACTGACTTTTTCATACAAACCTGGCCTGGTACCCTGGATGACAGGGTAGTCACTTCATAGAGAGAAAAAGAGACTTGCAGATATACTGAATCTGTCTTAAGAATTATTTGTTTTTTTAGTAGAGAGAGGATTCTCATTGTCTAGGTCTTTGCCCAAATGCCCTCAATGGGCAGGGTGGGGCCTGGCTGAAGCTGGGAATTCATTTCAGGTCTTTTCAATGATTAGCAGGAACCTTGTAACTGTCCATTGTTCCATCTGCCTCCCAGGAGTAGGAAGCTGGCATCCAGGAGCCACATGTGGATAGCCAGCCCACATGGGTGTCTTAACTGCTCGAGCAAATGCCTACCCTAGCCTGAGACTTTTGAAGTACATGATTTGGCTCTACATGTATTCTTGTACATGAAGCTGTGCAGTCCAGTTCACCTCCATCATCAAGTTATTGCATGACATTACAAAAAATATTGAAAATGCCTGGGAACTGCTTTTCTAGACCGGAAAGATCATGAAGCATGACTAGTAAAAATTAGGGCTTAATAAGAATACAGTGCAGCTTACAATGTTGCTACATTTTATTTCATCTAATATGTTTATTAGCCACTGTGAGAACAGCCTCTTGAATTCATGAAGAGAGAAGCTTATTCAGGCGTCACAGACATTTATTAACATGTTTCCCTTGGTAAGGAAAGCAGAGGCATATGGCTGATGTTAAGCAAATGCACAAGGTAAGCAGATAGATCAGCTTCCTTCCTCAAAGTCCTGTCTTTTCTCTTTTCAAAATAGGATGTTGACAACGCCTCTTTGGCACGTCTTGACCTGGAACGGAAAGTGGAATCCTTGCAGGAAGAGATTGCCTTTTTGAAGAAACTACATGACGAGGTAAGTGGAGTATCTTCTAGCAAGTGAATGAGGGTGGAGCTGCTGTCGTGCCTGGCGTGACTGACCTATGACTGCTCCTCTTTCAGGAAATCCAGGAGCTGCAGGCCCAGATCCAGGAACAGCACGTCCAGATCGACGTGGATGTTTCCAAGCCTGACCTCACAGCTGCCCTGCGTGACGTTCGTCAGCAGTACGAAAGCGTGGCTGCCAAGAACCTCCAGGAGGCCGAGGAGTGGTACAAGTCCAAGGTAGGAAACAAGTTCAGTGCTGCTAGAACAAAAGAAAAGCCTTGTGTTCTGATAACACGCCCTTGCCTGGGAGTCCTGCATAGCCTTTCCCTCCAATCCAGTTCTGGTTTCCACTTCATACTCAACCTTGGTGTTGCAGTGGACTGTTTACAGCCCCTCCTTTAGACAAGTAGCCTCTTCTATCTACTTCAAAGAAAACTTCAAAGCTATTCCCTTGACCTCTACCACTTTTGAAAGAGTACAGTAGCATGAACTCTGAAAATACCAGTGTCAGCATTCCACTGCTCCTTCTCTTTCTTGCAGAACAGAAAAGTAGGCATGGAGACAGAATTACAATTCTTTTCCCTAGGAAAGCAAAAAGTCTTGAGCACAGGCAACCCACATTTCTGATGTCTCTCTGACAGTTTGCTGACCTCTCCGAGGCTGCTAACCGCAACAACGATGCCCTGCGCCAGGCGAAGCAGGAGTCAAATGAGTACCGCAGACAGGTGCAGTCCCTCACCTGTGAAGTGGATGCCCTTAAAGGAACTGTGAGTACCACACTGCATTAATACAGGGGAAAGAATGTCCTTGGACCCATTCTGTTCACCAAACCAATGCTGATGTCTGAAACAAAACTTCAACTGAAAACAAATATATCATAAACCAAAGAAAATGAGTCATTCAGTCAGTCTCAAAAACCATTGGCTGGAGATCCTAAAGGTTTTAGCTTACTTACAGTGGAACTTCAAAAAGTTTGTGGAAAATAGAATTAAAAGGTAAGTTTTACATGCATCAATTTTGATATCCATGCATGGTTTTTCATAATATATATTTTTCCATGAGCTTTTTGAAGGACCACTCTTTTTTGGTTCTAGTAGTCAGGATTTGATACTTAGAGTCTCCATCTGAAACTGTCATGGTCGCCATTTCAAGAAGTTTCTGATGCATGATCTATGAATGGTTCCAGAATTAGCTGGGTTTCTCTGGGAAATCACATTGAAGCCTTTCTCTCCTCCTTCAGAATGAGTCCCTGGAGCGCCAGATGCGTGAAATGGAAGAGAACTTTGCTGTTGAAGCTGCTAACTACCAAGACACTATTGGGCGCCTGCAGGATGAGATTCAGAACATGAAGGAAGAGATGGCTCGTCACCTTCGTGAATACCAAGACCTGCTCAATGTCAAGATGGCCCTGGACATTGAGATCGCCACCTACAGGAAGCTGCTGGAAGGCGAGGAGAGCAGGTATGGTATACAGACATTCACGCGTGAGGAGATAGTTGCCACGGGACAGATATTTTGCTACTGTCTTTCCATACATTATCCTATGTAATCCTCCAACATTTCTTCATGCTTTTCACGTTTTGTAAATGTGGTTCAGGGAGAGCAGCCTGTCCTAGTCCATTGCTAGCGCAACTGGGATCTGATCTCATAACTTTATCCAAGTCTATGTTCTTCTAGTTCATGCCCTTGTGGAGGAAATATTTGGAGTGAAATATTTCAAATACGGTCATGAGTCTAATCATGAGTTAATGGATTTGCAACAAATTCCTAACTTACAAACGAAGAGTAAATTTTCTTACTCTATAAAAAGCAGTTTATAACTCTGTTCCCTGTTGAAGCTATTTGCAACAACTTTATTCTCTTCTTTTCTTTTTCTTTTCTTTTTTTTTTTTTTGTAGGATTTCTCTGCCTCTTCCAAACTTCTCATCCCTGAACCTGAGGGGTAAGCATCTTACTTTGTTTTATGAAAATTTTCAGCAGCTTATCACCATTCTATTAATGATAAGGTGCTTTAAAAAAAAATGATAGCTAAAAATTGCCACACAAGAGAAAATACTATACAATAATGCTGAATTTTCAAACCCATGTCCTCACTTGGCTGCTGTGCCTCCGGTTATTTTATTTCTTCCTGATGGAGGACACACTGAAGCACTGTCCTGCCTTGATGCTAACCTTGGTGTCAGACACTGGGCTTTTCAAATAGACGATATTCTGGAATTGTTCTGGAAGTTACAGTCTAAACAACTGTCCAGGGGGAAAAATGCATTTGAAGGGTTGTTTGTTCCTTAATTTTATTTTTGGCGTGTATTTTTCTTCAGAAACTAATCTGGAGTCACTCCCTCTGGTTGACACCCACTCAAAAAGAACACTTCTGATTAAGACGGTTGAGACTAGAGATGGACAGGTTGGTATCTTTTAAGTGAAAAACGGAATCATTTCAGGCAGGCTTTGAAACCCTTCTGAATCAACAAATTTGTTTCCGATACAGCCAGCTAATTTGAAAAATGCTCGTTTCTTTTCTGCCAAGTTAAAAAAAAAGAGACTAAGTTACTTCTTTCAGTTAATTAGACAGATAATGATTCGGCTCTCAGATGTGCAGGTGACATAGCAGTATTCTTCCTACACTCACTCCAAAATTAGTGATTTGCAATGGCGTTTCATTTGAATGAGATGAATGTTCCTTACATGACCCATAGACAAGCTTCAGTAGACTATCCCAATAGCAGAAACATTTTGATCCTGGGCATACAGCCTTTTACTGACTGCCATGAAGTGCTCCTAAATTCATCTACACAGCACAAGGATGAGCCATGTGGTCAGTTGGTGTCTTGTTACCTTTGCATGCCAGGAAAGAAATGGTTGTAATTTGCTGCAGTCTTTGTGAAATCTTTCCTTGCATATAAATTTGAAATGAGCTTGGCATACATTTTAATATAACATCTAAACTTGGCTGCATCAGATTACTGTAACATCCATCATAAATAGAATTTTTGATAACGTTTTCCTTTTGTAAACCACAGCACACTGGATATTTTCTTTGCCTGCAAGTAAAGGCTATCTTGCACATGTATCTCCCAGTCACCACTTTAGCTGTGACCCATGTCGTGTGGAACCAACCTCAATTTCTAGTTTGCACAATAAACTCTATATACTCACTTAGTAGGATTTTTCTTTGCTATCACTAATGGGATAATTTAACCTTCAGCATGTATTTGAATGAAGTTTTGTTTCCTCTAACAGGTTATCAACGAAACTTCCCAGCATCATGATGACCTTGAGTGAAAATTGCACACATCCTGTGCAGCCATGTGTGACCAGCAAGACTAAAAAAGAAACCCATATCTTAAAGAAACAGCTTTCAAGTGCCTTTCTGCAGTTTTTCAGGAGCGCAAGATAGATTTGTAATAAGAATAAGCTCTAGTTCTTAACAACAGACACTCCTAGGAGATTTAGAAAAGAGTTTACAACATGACCTAGTTTACAAAAAAGTCTTGTGCTAGAATACTTTTAAAAGTATTTTTGAATACCATCAAAACTGCTTTTTTGTCCAGCAAGTATCTGACCAACTTGTTTCTGCTTAAATAAATCTTTGGAAAAACTCTTTTGTTGCGTTACTCATTTGAGACTATCAGAACAATGCTCTATAGGGCCTTATTGGTTAATTTGCCATTAACATAATTTTTAGATTAACTTGGTAAGTTCAACTATTTATGTATGAATCAGAATTTTAGTTTGTTCATTCTGGATTATCTTTATTTTTTAAAATTTTAAAAATTTTTATTGGATGGGCCCGGCGCGGTGGCGCAAGTGGTTAAAGGTCCTCGCCTTGTACGCCCGGGATCCCATATGGGCACCGGTTCTAATCCCGGCAGCCCCGCTTCCCTTCCAGCTCCCTGCCTGTGGCCTGGGAAAGCAGTCGAGGACGGCCCAAAGCTTTGGGACCCTGCACCCGCGTGGGAGACCCGGAAGAGGCTCCTGGCTTCGGATCGGCATAGCATCGGCCCGTTGCGCTCACTTGGGGAGTGAATCATCGGATGGAAGATCTTCCTCTCTGTCTCTCCTCTCTGTACATCTGCCTTTCCAATAACAAAATAATAAAAATAAATCTTTAAAAAAAAAAAAAGTAAAAAAAAAAAATTTTTATTGGAAAGTCAGATATACAAAGAGGAAGAGAGACAGAGAGGAAAATCTTCCATCAGCTGATTCACTCCCCCAGGTAACTGCAACAGCTGGAGCTGCACTCGAGCCAAAGCCAGAATCCTGGAACTTCCTCTGGGTCTCCCATGCAGGTGCAGGGTCCCAAACCCGGGCCATCCTCGACTGCTTTCCTAGGCCACAAGCAGGGAGCTGGATGGGAAGTAGGGGCTGCCAGAATTAGAACCGGCGCCCGTATGGGATCCTGACAAGTGTAAGGTGAGGACTTTAGCTGCTAGGCTACCATGCTGAGCCCAATTATCATCATTTTTAAAATTTATAAATAGACAATGTAAATCTTAACTTTCTTCAAAGTGATGATAGCATCTTTCAACAAAAGTGGATTCAACAGGATTCATGTCTACTATAACTTCGATTTTAGCAAACAGGCTTCTTAAAATTAAAAAAAATGCTAACTTTTGTCTCTAGTATGAATAGCATATGAGTAGCACAGATTCCATTAAATCATAGAACATTGCCCAAGATGTAGGTGTTTTGTCTTACCAAGCAAGATGCAGAGATTTAGGACTAATTTATCAAGTTTCAACATATGAAATTGTCCACCTGCTTTGATGTATCTAATTCTAGGTCTAAGTGGTATCCACACCTCAATCTACACAGATTGTTTAAAACCATGTGTGTATTTATTTGAAAGGCAAAGTGACAGAGAAAGAAAGACACTGAGAAACAGAGAGGGTGCTTCCCATTCACCGGTTCACAATCTAAATGACCATAATAGTTGGGGCTGGTCCAGGCTAAAGCCAGGAGCCTTGAACTTCATCTGGGTCTTCTGTAGGGGAGGTAGGGAGCCCAGTACTTGGTAAATCCTTTCCTGCTCTCCAAGGCTCACTAGCAGAGAGCTGCATTGGAAGTTGAATCCAAGCCTCTTTTCTGTCTTCCAGCTGGCTCATCATCATCTCCCAGTCTTCTCACCCTATTTCTAAACCGAAGTGCTCTTTCATTACTATCCCATCTTTGGTTTATGTAACTTATCCAGGAAGAGGCAGTCCCATGCTGGGTTTCTGTCTACGGAATAGCTTTTTTTCTCAGTTATAAACCAAGCCATGCCCACCCCTAACCACAAGATAAAGTAATCAGGACAAGTTCTACCCATACATACTAAAACCAGTGGATTCCTCACTCTTAAAAATCTCTCCTACCTCTTTCTAAAAAGCAAATCCCATGAATGAGAAAGATGCACTGCTATCCCCCCACCACCCCACTTATCTGTGACACTCAGAAATTAGACCTTAAGGAAAAGCCTTCCAGGGTCCTGTCTCATAGGAATGTAAATCTACTTAAGGCTTCTTTTATTTTTATCTTTAATTATAATGTTAGCATTTTCCTTATCTTCCACTATGAAAAACATAGAGGAAAGCTATGCTCTCACCACCTATGGAGAATCAGATTAATGCTTGGCTCTTTTATGTGTAACATTAATCCAAAATTAAAGGCGATAACAAGTAAGTAGGGGTGAGGAGCAGGAGACAGGGACACAAATGTGCAGTTGGAAGAGTTACCAGGCAGAGGTGGTGGGCTTTGAAATCCACGAAAATTGTGTGAATGATGTGGTTGTTTTTCTCACAGTAGTGACAAACAACAGAGACTGGTGGGGAACGAAATAGATGTTTAATTTTTAGAATTTTTAGTCTAAAGTGTATAGTACTGATATATCTTCCCATGATGAGCTTCCGCCAAATGCACTGAGAAAACAGGGTCTTTTTTCTAAGCGTGTGAGACTGTGTGCAGCACAGTGGGTGGGAGTCACCACTGGCTCAGCATCCACACCAGCTGTGGTCTGAATGCTTGTGCACCACTCCCAGATTCCAATGCTGAAACCTAATTCTGAGCCTGCAGGAATGGGATGAACAGGGTCACCAGATGCCTGGGAGAGCTTTCGCACTTCCTTCTGTGAAAGGACACAACAAGAGAGCACCGCCTGTGCACCAGGAAGCAGACTGCACAGACACGGCTCTGTTGGCACCTCGACTGTGAATTTGTGAGAAATGAGTTATCCTTATGAACCTCCCAGTCCACAATACTGCAATGATAGCAGCCCAAAGACAACTAGTACCATGTCCACAGGCTTCCTGAAGGAAGCCAGGATGAGGTAGGCCCTAAGTCCATGAGGAGGCTGCCTCTCTAAAAGCCAGGCTCCAGCTGAACAGGGAGTCTGTATTGACTATTCTGCTTTTGTGGCTACAGTAAAACACAACATACCGGGTGATTTAAGCAGCCATGTTGCCTTATGGTCAGGCTGCAAATCCAGGTAGAACGTCCTGGCAAAGCTGGCTCCTTTGGAGGCCACTCCTGTTGGCTTTCAGAAGGCACCATCCTCACTGTGCAACTATGCCCTTGTGTCTTCTTACAATGACACCAGTGACATTAGTCTGGGACCCAATCATGTGGCCTGCTTTCACCTCAGTCATTCCCTGCCAGGTCCCTATGTTAAAAACAGCCACATTCTGAGGCTTAGGGCTGAGTCTTAAGAATTTTACAGAATAGAAGATGTTCACAGTTAAACACCTGGAGACATCTCCTTGTTCATACCCACAAGAGGTCTGTCAGAGACTTTCAAGCATCCTAATTGACTTGTGGCCATCTGTGACTACACAGTTTTTCATTTTTTAAAATTCCCTCTCTATGACTTGGCGCAACAGCCTAGTGGCTTAAGTCTTCACCTTGCACATGCCAGATTCCCATATGGGTGCTGGTTCAATACCACTGGTCCACTGCTTCCCATGCAGCTCCCTGCTTGTGGCCTGGGAAAGCAGTCAAGTACAGCCCAAAGCCTTGGGACCCTACATTTATGTGGGAGACCCAGAAGAGTCTCCAGGTTCCTGGCTTCAGATTGGTGCCACTCCAGCCATGTGGCCACATGGGGAGTGAATCATCAGACGGAAGATCTTCCTCTCTGTCTCACCTCCTCGTTGTTGTAAATTTCAAGGGTTTGTCCATTGTATGGTTGGCTAGTATTCCACTAGGTATTGTACCACATTTTGCTTTACATCAGAGGACTTTGTTTTCATGTCTTAGCTACTGTGCACGGTGCTGCGGTAACCGAGGGTGTGCAGAGGTCTCCTCAGCAGGATGATTTTGTTTCCCTTGAATATATACAGAGGAGGGAGATTGCAGTTTTTTTCAGGAAACGATACCGTTTGTGACAATGACTGTACAAAAGTGGTCCTTTTTGTCCACATCTTCACCAACACTTTCTTTTCCCTTTGTGCCACTCTACCTGGAAGGAGGTAGTATCTCAAGGTAGCTCATAATTACATTTACCTGATAATTAGTGATGGTAGGCATTTTCTTTCATGTGTGTTAGGTAGATTTAAACTTAATTTTTCTACATTTTGGAGTGCTCTAATGTAATAATTATAAACAATTTAGAAAAACAAGAATATGAAAGTTTCTTACAACCATTAAAAATACTTATTTACTTTATCTGAAAGGAAGAGAAATGGACAGAAATCTTCCAGCTGCTGGTTCACTACGCAAATGCTCTTAACAGCTGGGCTGGACCAGGGTGAAGCCAAGAGCCAGGGCATCAATCCGCATCTCTCACGGACAGTAGGGACCCAAATACTTGAATTGTCACCTGCTGCTTCCCAGAGTATATCCTGGCAAACAGCTAAAACCAGCAGAGGAGCCAAAACTCAAACCCAGCCACTTTCGTCTGGGATGCCAGCATCTCAAACAGTGTACCAATCACTACACCAATGCCTGCCCTGAGTCCTTCCTTGACTTGATACAAGGTAGCTATAACGACTGGGAATAAACATAATAAATAATAGTGAAATTGCAGAAGTGGTCACTGTAAGATGAAAAGGACTACAGATATGCACCCTCCCCACTACCAGCAAATAAAGTACTGCTGGAAAACAAATTTAAAAGGCAAGGTGATACAAAGAAAGAAAACCTTCACGAATTGTCAGTGATATGACTGCTTATTTGGACAGAAACTATCTATAAATTATAAAGAAAAGCAGAAAGTTCAAATTAGCAGTAAGACACTCTAAGAACAGATAGATAGAACAAAGGAAAACACATTCTGCCTGATAAAACTATAATGGGAGGTATCATATGGTATGAACACAGAAATAAACACCAAAGGTCTGTAATAGAATCATCCTAAGTAAAGCCACATATGCGGACTTCCTAGTTATGACAGAGTAAGCATGGTCTAATCAGCATCAATAGGAAAAGCACTCTGAGGAAGATTTTTTTTTTTTTATGTGTTTCTTTGAAAACCAGAGTTCAAAGAGCGAAGAAGAGGCACACAGAGAAATTCCATACACAGATTCACTCCCCAGATCACTTCTAAGGCCAGGCTGGGGAAGGGCTTAAACCAGGAGCCAACAGCTTAGCTTCTCCCTGTCTCCATGGGAGTTCAGGACCAACTTCTGC